GTCAGGAAGCAACAGTTAGAACTGGACATGGAACCACAGACTGGTTCCAAGTAGGAAAAGGAGTACGTCAAGGCTGTATATTGTCACCCTGCTTATTTAACTTATATGCAGAGTACATCATTGAGAAATGCTGGGCTGGATGAAGCACAAGCTGGAATCAAGATTGCCGGGAGAAATATCAATAACTTCAGATATGCAGATAACACCACCCTTATGGTAGAAAGTGAAGAAGAACTAAAGAGCCTCTTGATGAAAGAGGAGAGTGAAAAAGTTGGCTTGAAGCTCATCATTCAGAAAACTAAGATCATGACATCCGTTCCCATCACTTCACGGCAAATAGATGGGGAAACAGTGGAAACAGTGGTTGATTTTATTTTGGGGGGCTCCAAAATCACTGCAAATGGTGATTGCAGCCATGAAATTAAAAGACGCTTACTCCTTGGAAGAAAAGTTATTACCACCCTAGACAGCATATTAAAAAGCAAAGACATTACTTTGCCAACAAAGGTCCATCTAGTCAAGGCTATGATTTTTTCAGTAGTCATGTATGGATGTGAGAGTTGGACTATAAAGAAAGCTGAGGGCCAAAGAATTGATGCTTTTGAACTGTGGTGTTGGAGAAGACTCTTGACAGTCCCTTGGGCAGCAAGGAGATCCAACCAGTCCATCCTAAAGGAGATCAGTCCTGGGTGTACATTGGAAGGACTGATGTTGAAGCTGAAACTCCAATCCTTTGGCCACCTGATGCAAAGAGCTGACTCACTGGAAAAGACCCTGATGCTGGCAAAGATTGAGGGCAGTAGGAGAAGGGGACTACAGAGGATGAGATGGTTGGATGGCACACCGACTCAATGGACATGAGTTTGAGTAAACTCCAGGAGTTGGTGATGGACAGGGAGGCCTGGCATTCTGCAGTCCATGGGGTTGCAAAGAGTCGGACACGACTGAGCAACTAAACTGAACTGATAACATCCTATACCACCTGGTAAACATATATTATGGTGCTTACCAATGATAAACAGATAAGAGAGAGCGTTGGGGAAGGAAAAAAAAAAAGGAAATGAACAGGTCACTAATATGAACTGTAACCCTGTTCCTAACTCTGCCTGGCTTCTCTGTCTGGGCTGGGCCAGATGCTCAGCCTCCCGATGAAAGTAAGACTCTGGAAAGGCTCTCTCTCATGTACTAGAGAGACATGCGTGCAGGCACAGAGCCTGGGCAGCTACAAGGCAGCATAAGCAACAACATATGCCTCTTACAGAGTCCATGGCCACATGTAGACAGTCAGGCTACAGGAGCAAGCCTCCCCCTGGGCTGGAGGGCAGCTCTTCCATACCTACACCCAGAAGACCAGACTCCACGAGCCCCACCCCACCTTCCCCCGCCCCTCCTTCCTGCAGGCTGCTTTGTTGGTGTCTGATGCTAACAGAGGAATTCGCAGGTAAGAATTTATTATTCACTCATTTATTCAGCATCTTCCCTCCAGTGAGAAGAGAACTGCTGCTCATATCCAAAAATATCCTAATAGGGAATTTTCTTCCCATCAAAGCAAAATCCTCAATACATGAAATCTGAGATCTAGCCAATTTAATGAATTCCTTATAATTTTTAAATAGCATATATTATTTTAATGCTTTACCCAGTTGGAAAGTTACTGAGGGATAAATTGGCAGCATCTCTGTTTTCTTTTGAGAAAACAAATTCATAAAAATAAAATGTTCAACATTTTTTTTATGTTATTATTTTGGGAGCTTTCTTTTTATGACCAAATTCTGAGTCATCTTATATTGTCTGAATTCTAAAAAGATTCAATTGATTGCAGAAAAGTTTTCTTAAAAATTTGCTTTTCCATTTTTTTCTCTGGCTAATCCCTGGGTGGTTTTATGCAGTACTTACTATTTAAAGGACCTAATTTATTTTTTATGGCACATCACCAATATCCAAGATAGTATCCAATTCCTTAATTCTGAACTCTGCCTTGAGTGACAGCCAAGCTAAACGAAATGAAAATACCTTGGGCAGTCTTTGTTTACACACGGTGGCAGGATTAACTAAGTTACACGGATCACTGCACTGGGGATACTCCGAGTCGCTGCTCTGTATATGCCTGCCAGAAACTTTCTACTCCCAGCACTTCAGGTAAAACAAGACATTGTGAGCACCTACTCTGAGCAGAACATGGTGCTGGAAACCCACAGGCGGCCAGGCTCACTGCCTGATCTGCGGGCCTGGCTGGAGTCGGGTCTTGCCCTGTCCTGTCACTGCCTACTCTGTCTCTGGGGCAGAGAGTTCTCACTCTTGCTGTTTTTCAGGAGACAGAGTCTTATTCTTGTCCAGTACATCTATTAAATGTTTATCTTCATAGGTCTATCTGTGTTGCTGCAGATGGCAAAATTTCATTCTTTTTGATGTCTGAGTTATTTTCTATTGTACATATATATACCACATCTTCTTTATCCATTCATTTGTTGATAGACATTTAGGTTGCTTCCATATCTTGGCTATTGTGAATAGTGCTGCTGTGGACATTGTTGGGCACGTATCCTTTCAAATTAAGAGTTTTGTCTGGATATATGCCCAGGAGTGGGATTGCCAGATCATACAGAGTTTTAAGGACCTCCATACTGTTCTCCATAGTGGCTGTACCAATTGACATTTCTACCAACAGTGTAGAGGGGTCGGTCCCTTTCCTTTGAGTTTACTGTTGATGTGCATATAGTACAATTCATTTTGTGTGTGTACATTTCTGTAAATTTTGAGAGATGCACAGAATCATAGATGCACCACCATAAGGACCCAGAAGCAACCACTCCATCCCGCAGAAAGCTCCCGCTGCTGCCCTTTGCTGTCAGCTCCCTCCTTCCCACCGACCCCTAGCAACTGCCTTCTGTTCTCTGTTACTGTTGTTTTATCTGCAAAGTTTGTGTTTCTCAGTGGGTTTCAAAGTAGGGATGCTTCCACTTTCCAGTCAGACTTTGCGTCGTTACTGTGCTGGCCTCTCCACAGTCAGGGTCTTTCTCTGATGTCTCTCAGTTGAAAAGGGGAGAGTCATGGGATACTCTAAGGACCTTTTAAGTCTCAGTCTCCTTCTTCTGGGTTATGTAAGAGCATCAGTGGGAGAGATGCAAGGGCATCGGGTGGCTGTCCTCGTCTGGTTGGAGCTCAGAGAATGGCTCTTGGAGCAGGGCAATCGCCCTCATACAGAGCATTGTCTGGATGCCCACCCACGTGCTCGGCACATAGCATGCAGGATGGAAAGGTTTTCATCAGTGAGGGGTAAGTGGGAGGAGTTTGTGGGCCTATTGGGCTAAAATATGTAGGGAGCACTGACTTATCATCTAGACATCATTGAAATAATTATTGAACACTATTGATTTTTTTTAATAATTCCATTTTTACAAAGCCTTAGTTCCATTTGGGTTCAATTAGTTGGGGAGAAATCTCCTCATACCCCACCCTCTTGTAATTAAAAAACATGTTCTTCTTAGATGATTTCAAAATGTTCTTCTCCAACTCCCAAGCTTGCTAGCTTGACTGATTTGATGTGACTCCACATCACTGGAATAGAAGAACACGTGTGGCTTTGGGAGTTCAGGTGAAGTGGAACTGGGAGCAGGTTAAGGCAGCATAGAGACACTGAACCTTGGAGGACCATTTTAACAGGACTGTTTTAATGCTAATAGTTAGCTCCAGCTGAGGGGTTACAAGAATTATAGGCAAATGTCCCAGTTGTCTTTATGAAATTGTTGGCAGCGTTCTCCCAAAATAATCCAAGGCAAAAAATATTCTGGCCTTTGGTGACTAGCAGTTTTTGTCAATAAATGCGGGCTTTTCCGCCTTCCTCTCAGTCACATGAACCCAAAAGGCAACAGCTGCAGGTCATGGGTCAACGGTTGTGCACCTGTGCTGGCTTGTCTCCTGTGTGGATTCACTGACTTTTAATCTGGAGAGACTTGAGTAGTCCATTAGGTTTAATTCTAGTGATTCTTTTGCATAATACAATAATGCCTAGATTCTAGACCAATGCCCCAAACTGGGTCCTGTGACTCTTTAGTACCACAGGAAAATGCCTTTTGTCAGTAGACTGTTTACTCACATCCAAATAAAGAATAGACTACATTAACTTGATAAATTATAATTAAGAAAAAATTTTAAAGCATTGCTTCAATTCATTGTGTATTCCATGAGAAATTTTTTGTTAGTCCACATGATCCAGAAAATTCCCAGCTTCCTGGAATTTTAGATACATATGTGTACAGCTACTACCCCTCTGTAATATTAATATCAGGCCCACATTTGGAAGAGGGGGAGAACTCATAGCTGATAACAGTTCAGAAAGTAGAGAAACTAGTTGATAGGCTAAGCTCATTTTTTTCCCCTGTGGACATTCATGGTTAAGGTGGCTATATCAGGTCTGTGAGTGAAATAGAATATTGGCATTTTCTTAAAATCTCAAATAAAGTAAATGAACATAATATTTCAGAATTATACATCTTAAGTCTGTCATAGCCCTCAAATTGATCATTTTTTCCAGTTCACAGTGTACAGTTCAATTCACAATATACAGTTCACTACGTTTTTATAGTTTTGCATATTAATGCCATCATTTTGTCACATATTACAGAGTTGAATGCTAAAATATCATTAAACCAACCACTTATCTCAGGTACCTGGGACAGGGCTGAGTTAAGTATTTGTACTGTTCCATGTTTGTGTCAGGTATTTACCAGGCCTGCCTTATTATTTTGTCCATCTTCCTCTTTACCTTCTGAGCCACCAGGGAAGCCTGCCCTAAGTGAATATCTTGTACCAAAACTCAAATTGCTTTCTGATTGGAATCTGGGTCTCTCCTCACACCAACACAGCGTTGGGTCCCAAATTGTATAAGGTTCCAGTCCTAATTTTCCCATTTGACTATATCTCTTTAGGTGGATCTTCCCTGTAGCTCAGATGGTAAAGAATCTGCCTACAATGCAGGAGACCTGGGTTCGATCTCTGGGTCAGGAAGATGCTCTGGAGAAGGGAATGGCAATCCACTCCAGTATTCTTGCCTGGAGAATCCCATGGACACAGGACCCTGGCAGGCTACAGTTCGTGGGGTGGCAAACAGTAGGATACAACTGAGCAACTAACACTGCTACACTGCACTGCTCTAGGTGGAAGATGATGGAAAAATCTTGTGAAACTTCTAATGAAAGGCCTTGGAGGTTTTTACTCTCTGCACACTGAACAAAGCTTGCTGGGAATTGTTCCTTGGATTCCCTTCCTGGGATGGAATGTAACATATTCCAGCTGGCGCTGTTCAAGGCAAGAAAATAGATCATGATTAAGTTGATGAATGACTCTGAACCTCTCACTGCTTCTTGGGAATTCTCCCTTCGAGCACACTGCCTAGGACAAGTCTATGTACCAAGTAAAGAATTTGTTTCATTTGACCGCAAGTGTAGTGTATTCTGCAGTTTACAAGGTTTTCTCCTCCTCCTGCTTCCTCTTCTCTTTTTAACCTGTCTCCCCACAACCTTTTTTTTTTTTTTTAAACTTCAGATTGGCCATTTCGTCCATAAATGTTCTTTAAGCCAACCAGATGTGGGCCTGGCTCTAAGGTAGCAAGCACCAAGTCTCCCCTAGAGCTGGTTTTCTGGTGCGCAAAGGAAGATGTGAGGAGAAGAAAAGGACACCCTGCACACGTGGGGAGACAGAACGCTTGCCCCACACACAGAAGACCAGGTCTGGACAGGGTGTGTATTGTCTGTGTCAGGCACCACTGACACTCCACACTCCACACACACACTCCACACACAATCTTGGACTAAGCCTTTGCTGTCTGGTATGGAAGCCACGATCCTCATATGGTTATTGAACCCTTGAATGTGACTTGTCTGAATTGAGACTCACCGTAGGTATAAAATGCATGCCACACCAGGAAGACTAGCATAAAATGTGAACTATTTCCCAAATAATTTTATATTGACTGCATACTAAACTGATCATATTTTCTGTATATTGGGTTAAATAAAATATTTTTTAAAAATTTTCAGTTGTTCAAAATCTTTATTTTTTTTCATTAATTTTTATTAGTTGGAGGCTAATTACTTTACAATATTATAGTGGTTTTTGCCATATGTTGACATGAATCAGCCATGGATTTACATGTGTTCCCCATCCCGATCCCCCCTCCCGCCTCCCTCCCCACCCCATCCCTCTGGGTCTTCCCAGTGCACCAGCCCTGAGCATTTGTCTCATGCATCCAACCTGGGCTGGTGATCTATTTCACCCTTCATAGTATACTTGTTTCAATGCTGTTCTCTCTGAACATCCCACCCTCGCCTTCTCCCACAGAGTTTAAAACTCTGTTCTGTACATCTGTGTCTCTTTTTCTGTTTTGCATATAGGGTTATCCTTACCATCGTTTTAAATTCCATATATATGTGTTAGTATACTGTATTGGTCTTTATCTTTCTGGCTTACTTCACTCTGTATAATGGGCTCCAGTTTCATCCATCTCATTAGAACTGATTCAAATGAATTCTTTTTAATGGCTGAGTAATATTCCATGGTGTATATGTACCACAGCTTCCTTATCCATTCATCTGCTGATGGGCATCTAGGTTGCTACCATGTCCTGCCTATTATAAACAGTGCTGTGATGAGGTACATGTGTCTCTTTCAGATCTGGTCTCCTCGGTGTGTATGCCCAAAATATTAAAATTAATTTAACCTATTTTTCATATTTTTGATAAGGTTACTAAAACATTTATGGGCTTCCCCAATGGCTCAGCAGGTGAAGAATCTGCCTGCCAATACAGGACACACGGGTTTGATCCCTGGGTCCGGAAGGTCCCCTGGAGGAGGAAATGACAACCCACCACAGTATTCTTGCCTGGGAAATCCTGTGGACATAGGAACATGGTGGGCTACAGTTCATGGGGTCGCAAAAGTCAGTCACGACTCAGCAACTACATACTAAAACATTTAAAACTCCATACATGACTTGCATTTTACTTCCATAGGACAAGTAGAGCACTAAACAGTTGCTTACCTGCTTTTTGTTTCTCTGACTGGACTCACTTGTATGTTTTTAAACTTTCCCAAAACAGGGTCAGGACGGCTATACTCCCCCGCTACACCCCAGCCCCTAACAACCTATTAGGAGCACTTTCAGCTCTGAGTTCAGGTCACCTCAGTGAGTCCTGCCACCCTGAGGGCTATGAAATTCTCGTTCCCCAGAGGGTATTCCAGTCCCAGACCAGCAGTGGTCTGTCCCTGGTGGACCCTTATGCCCTTCCAGGGAACCCTAGAATCCAGGGCAACCCAAGGCCCCCTAAATTCAGAAACACAGACCTTATACAAGAGATACGCGTTCACTCAGGGCACAAGAACTTCTTCAGGGAGACGAGAGGATGCTGAGGGGTGGGACAGAGGGCCAACAGGACACACGGATGGGCAGAACCTGACTCCATCTGTCCACGGAGAGTAGGTGTGACTTCCACATACTCCTCAGGACATGGCAGGTTTGTGAAGCATTGCCCCCGTCTGCACACCCACACGTGGGGCGGAGCCTCTCCTGGCTTGAGGTCCAGGCTCGCCCCTCCGCCCCCACCCCCAGAGCTCCGCCCCCGCCCACCCACCGGAGGCCGGGGAGTGTCTGGCGCTTCTTTCGTGGTGACTCGCTCCACGTGAACTGTGTCACGTCAGTCTTTGTTCCCCACGGCCTCTCCTCTGTCTGACATCTTGCAGGCAGAGACGCTGCCACCGGTGTTCTGGATGGACTGTCTTCACAAGGATGCCTCACAGTGGACGGCCTGAAGTACAGAGATGGAGTTTCCCTCTGCAGAAGGCCGGCAGCCTCACCTCCCATCAGACAACCCTTGCATTCCTTGAGCTCACAGTGCCTCTCCTGTAATGCCACCTGCTGCTGTGCAGCTGTCGCCCCATGGGGACTGAGGCTGGGAGCTGCCACAAAAAAGACTGGCACTCAGACTGTTGCTGTAACTAAGCCTTTTTATCTCTGACCCAGGGCCCTGTGTCTTCTGCCAGCCCCCAGGACACTGGCATGCTGGCACGTCACTCACAAGTAGGGGAGAATCTCAGACATTCCACAGTTCTCAACAGGACCTTCACGCTGGAAATCTAAATGCACATGGGCAAGGAGCAAGTGTCGGCGCCTAGGGAACAAGATGAAGGGAATAGGTTCCAGAATGAAGCTATGGTATAGACTGCTGATTGCCCCTAATTATTTGTTCTCACTTTTTTTCTTTGTAAAAATAATCCCAACTATTGTTTTAGCTGAGAACATTATGGCTAACTAAAATCATACATTTCTCAGTCTTCTTTGTAGCCATACCTGGCAAATCATGGCGTTCTAGCTGAGGAGACATAAGTGGAAGTGGAAGAGAGTGTTCCTTCATTCTTGCTCCCTTTTTATTTTTGCTCCCTGGACTGCAGATATAACTGTTGGTGCTCCAGCAGCCATATTGGGCCATGAGATGAATTTGAAAATAGAATTCATGCATAGTGAGTAACAAGATAGGAGCAGAAGTCCTAGACACCAGGAAGCCACCAAACCATCCATGAACAGACTCCTGACCTCTTTTCATGAGAGAAAAATAAACTATTTTCTTTAAGCCACTGCTGTTTTGGATCTTCTAGCAATCTAATTCTAACTAATACACAAACTCAATTTTCACTAAGTGTAGGGTATATTATAAATCACATTTACTAGGAAAGATGCCATCCTATGTCTGTTTGACAGTCAAAATGTTGAAAAGTGAGGGCTACAATTAAACCATGTGCATGTCTCCATGCAACCCAAGAGCAAACCCATTTTAAACAAGTGAATTCAGTTCTATATTATGAAGAACTTACTCTTACACATGTGAATAGTATGTCTTAGCAATACTTACCTCAACCTACTTAGGAATGGCTTGTTTCAAATATTTTCTAACACTTTGAACATAGAAATTTTATCACCTTAAAAAAAGATTTCTTAGTTACTTTGAAAATGTTTCATAACACTGCATGCTGCCAGCACTGCCCAATTCAGGCCGGGTCTGGCTGCCAACCTTGGCATCCTTCCTGTTGTACCTCAGTCAGCCCTGATTTTAATTTCTCGGGCCAACCCCACCAGCACCACACCCTAGGACCTTGCCTCCAGCTGACCACTGCTGCCATCGGCTGCCTTGTGCAGAAGCATGGTCCTCAATAAACCCTTCCATAGGATGTGGAGAAGAAGCAGGGCAGGGCAGTGCTAAGAGCACTTGTGTTCTAGATTCTAGCCCCAGTCCCCGGGGTCCTAGCTGTGCTGCCCTCAGGAATGCATGGGCATTCTGTCTCCATGTCCTCACCTGAAAGAGAAGTAATGATACACGGGCTTTGAAGTTTGACTGAGCAATTCATGAGGAAGGGCTCTGTAACTAGAAGGGCCCCACCGTGTCACAAGCCATGAAGTTGGCATTCCTGACAGAAAGCCAATGGAAAAAAGGAAAACAAGGGCTCAGCCTACTTGGCATAGATTGATTTTATAGGGGTGTCAACCTCTATTACCAGTGACTTCCTGGGGCCTATCAACCCAAACCTACTAGGATCTTCCTTGGAGAAGGAGGATCTCAAACACCACGAGGAGAACTTAATGTTTTCCTGGAGTTCTTGGTCAGGGCTTTAGAGAGAAGACCAGGGTTCTGACACAGAGCTGCCAACATCAAATGCAGGGGCTCCTTGATTCACTTGCCAACCTGCTCACCCCTAGTAGGTGGTTTCAGTTTACATCCCAGCTTTGCTGTTTGCTCTGATAAAATGTCTGCCGGCAAGGTGGAAAACCTGGGTTCGATCCCCAGGTCAGGAAGATCCCCTGGAGAAGGAAATGGCAACCCACTCTAGTACTCTTGCCTGGAAAATCCCATGGACAGAGGAGCCTGGTAGGCTACAGTCCATGGGGTGGCAGAGAGTTGGACACGACTGAGTGACTTCACTTTTCACTTTCACTCACGTGAGCCTGGTTCCATAACCAAACTTCAGTTTCCTCATCTACAAAATGGGAATAACAAAATGTACTAGATGCTTGTTACCCTCAATCCCATTCCTCCTAGTTTCCAAAAAAAAAAAAAAAAAAAACCACAAAAGAATATCTACAAGATCAGAGACCACTGCTTCATGTGCTGGAGACTTGGGGACTGGGCCTCACTTTCTGCATTGTCACAGGGCTGGGAAGAGATGAAAGCCGATTCAGAGATGTGCCCTGGAGAAACAGCTTCAAACATTGTGTTGGATGGGACTCTTGGATGACCTCAAATCAAAGAGACAGGATTGTGAAGTAGACAAAGTCTGT